TATAAATAGAATTAGTTATAAAATAATTACAAAAATATACAAAGGCACTAATAAATAATAGAGTAATAAAAATTTATATTCGTATTGCCATTCTACATATATTTATTTCAACAAATTAAATATTAAAAGAATTTTAATTTAGAATTGACACATTTAGTTTTAATTTATTTTTATAAATCATAAATTCCCTAAATGCTAGGATTTGCCCTATAATATTACATTCATAGTAGAAGCTCAAGATCTACTCTCGAAATTAATGGAAATTTCTCGGCCCAGGCGCCCAGCTGTCTCACACCTAACTCATACAGATTAGATAAGAGGCCTCCACGGTAAGGAGCCCATTCTAGGCCGCTCTGAGGGATTTATTTAGTACGTACCGTTGTGCGTGCGATTCGGCTGTGGCGCAAGCCATTTGAGGAAGACGGAGGTGCGATTAAATTGGATGGCCTCCATGCCGAACGGCGGCGCCTCGGGCACTGTCAGAGAGCAAAGAGAGAGTGGAGGAGATTGAATTGCGAATTAGTTCTAGTTGATAAGGCGCCAGTGAAGCAGCTCTGATTAGCAGGTAAGCCAGTAAAGCCTGTAGTTCGGGCAGCCTTACCATCTTCCATGGTGCGAGCCTGTCTCGAGTTGGAGGGTTTGCCTACGACGCTCTTGTAAAATGGCACAAGAAAAAACTCATACGTAGAAGCCTTCGCCAGACCGGGCACCGTGCACGAGCTCAGCCCCTGCCCCTTGTTGAGCAGCGTCAGCATCTTGTACTCCGAGGAGCGCAGCTCTCTGGCGTACAGATAGTAGCCCTCGATGTACTGGCCGCTGTCAATGTCCCAGGCCAGCCGAACGGAGGTCGAGTCGCTGGCATTCGCCTCGAGCAGCTCGACAATGTCGTTCGCCTGCAGCAGCGTCTCCACATCGCTGAGCATCAGCTGCGAGCTGGCCGAGCTGGAGGAGCTGGCGCCCACCAGCTGCCCGGCTGTGATTGGCTCCGAGATGGGCGAGGGGGGCGAGAAGCCGAGCGCGTTCTCGGCGCGCACAATGAACATGTAGGCGGCGCCCGCCTCCAGCCGCTCCACTGTCACAATGGGCTCGCTCAGCCTGCTGGCAATGGGGATCCAGGTCTTGCTCTTGTTCGTGCAGTACATCTCCACGCTGTAGCCGAGGAAGGGCGAGGCGCCCAACTTGTCGCTCGTGGGCCACACGATTGTCATGGCTGAGGCAGTGGCATTCAGCACTGTCGGCTGACCGGGGGCAGAGGGGCACTTGCTCTGCTCGGGCGCGCGATAGAACTTGATGTTCGGGTTGGTGGGCAGCTCGATGCGCAGGAAGCCGCTCCAGGTGGACTTGCCGGCCCGCGAGCTGGCCACGCAGGTGTAGAGGCCCTGATCCTGCTGCCGGTCCAGGTCGGATATAATCAGATCTCCGGCAGTCGTGATGTTCAGCTTGGCACTGGGCTGCACGGGGATGCCATCGCGGTACCAGGAGATCGTCGGATTGGGCAGGCCAATCGCCTTGCACTGCAGCGTGGCCAGACTCTTGACGGGCAGCGTTTGGTTCACGGGTCCCGCGATGATTATCGGCGGCGGCCGATCCTCCTGCGAGTCGAGAGTGAGCTGCACCCGCGACGTGATGCTAGCCACCTCGTTCATGGCGTTGCACAGGATGACCAGATCCTTGTCGGTGCGCTGGAAGCGCGTCAATGTCAAGATCGAGTGCCCCTCCTCGGTGTTCAGGCTGTGAAAGCGATCCAGTGGCGGTGCCCCGGGAAAGATCAGCGTGCTGTTGTTCTTGATTGTCCAGAATATGGTGGGCTTTGGATTGCCCGAGGCACGGCACTCGAACGAGGTGTCCGCTCCGAGCTCAACTGATTTGCTGGCGGGTCGTTGTATGAATTTCGGGGGTGCTACAGTGTGCGGAGGCGTGGGAAGGTAGGGTATCAACTAATTAGCTAAGCGAGACTAGCACTAAATAGAGTCAAATGACACAAGCTTCAAGCGAATCTCTCTTATTTAATCTTTACTTTAATGCTTTGACTCGACTTGACTTGAAATGAGGAAACTCTAAATAGTAAATTGTATCAAATTAATTTTTTAGATGTATTCATTCTATACTATATTTAATATCGTATGTTTGTGCTTGCAAAGCTTCTTAATTTTAGATGCCTAATGAAAATTTTTATCATGAAAACTGGATTGCAAATGCATTTAAAGGACTACTACTAATAAATCATTTTATTTTAAAGGCTCATTTTGCGAGCATTTAATAATATAGAGCAAGAGCTTTTTGTTCTAATTTCAAATTATTTCATGACTTTTATAACAGCTACAGAGTTCATTCCACAGTTTGGAATATTCAATGTGCTTTCGCAGCCTTCTCTTGCAATTTCAATTTATAAGCTCTACAGAATTAAAATATCTATGCAGCAGCTTTGAGGTGCTTTTAATATCTTAATGACATATTTAAGCTTTAATATAAGTTTTTAACTCAGCTCGTATTGAGGTTCAGTCAGAACTTGAACTTGTAAGCTTTAATGTGCTTCTGCATCATTTGTATTACATTTCGAATTGATTCAGCTTGAATCTCGAATGTGCTTCTGCTTCATTTTTAATACATTTCAAATAGAGTCTCTTCCTTATGCCAAAGCTCCTCTTCAGTTCGAATCTCCTCCAGTAGCTACGTCCTTTCAGCTCGTGTCATTAGCTCACAACTATTGAAGCAATTGCTGCCTTCACTTACCAAACACCGTCAGGGTGCCCATTGCTGTAATGGCGCCGACCACATTATCGGCTTCGCAGCTGTATTCGCCCTCATCCGCAATTGTGACTCGCTCCAGGCGCAGGCTGCGATCCTCCAGGACGCTGACACGGTCTGCAGGCAGCCGGGAAATTATATTAGTATTAGATGAAACACCTCCAGGCAGGCGGACAGGTGGACAGGCGGACAGGACTCACCTAGGGGCATGTTGCCGCCGGAGGCTGTGCGCAGCCATAGCACATCCGGCATGGGATCCCCGCCCACACGGCAGGGAAATGTGACGGAGGCGCCTTCGAGAACCGTTTGATCATGTGGTCCGCGTATGATGTAGGGCTTAACTGCAATAAACATAATGAAGCGCTTAGCGGCATTTGAGGTGCTTGCTGTGCACGGAGCGAGAGAGAGCAGCGACCCAAGTCACAATTCAGCAAATTGGACATGACACATTGATTCGAGGTGTGCCACACCGTCGTGGGCAGAGCTGGGTAGGGTAGGGAGAGGGAGAGGGAGGATGCTTACCATGTACTTTGAGCGTGGCCAGGGATGATTCGCGCACACCGACCGGATTCTTGGCAATGCACTGGTATTGACCCTCGTCACTTTGACGTGCATCCTGTATGGCCAAATTGCCGCCATCAACGATGCGTATACGCTTCGTGCCCTCCAAATCCAATTTCTGGCCGCCCTTCTTCCACGTGACCGTCGGTTCCGGTATGCCCCGCGGCGCAGCACACTCCAGCAGCGCTGTGTCACCCTGTGCGATGCGCGTGTTCTGTGGCTCCAGGCGAAACTCATCGCGCAGCACTGTAAAACGACGAGCAGAAGCAGACGATGAGTGGCAAAACCTTTACAGACTGTGTGTATGTGTGTGGGTGTGTGAGTGTGTGTGTGGGCTGGCCTCTGTCCATTTGATGCCCGCCTGCTGCCTGGTGGTTATAAATTATCTTGGTTTTGCATGATAAATGCCTGTCCCTGTCCTGCCTTAACCCGAAGCAGTCCAAGGCACCCACACTCTGTATGTGTGTGTGTGTGTGTGTGCATGGGTGTTTGTGGTCTGACAGCAAAGATAAATTGTTGCTAAATGGCATAAATGTGATTTTTATACACACACACACACACATTCGCACCTGTGCCTGCAGCTCATTTGTTAAAAAAGTCTGAGAAGGCCACGCACAGCTTTTTAACTAATTTAATTCAGTTTTAATGCAACTGAAACACATCATCGATATAGAAGATAAATAAAGTTTAGCTAAATCACTAACCAGGCTAAATCAAACAGAAAAGTGTGAAAAAATCCCACAGTTGAACGCTTTCCCAGCCAATCGATTACTCTTAGCAATCGATTACTTTTAGCGCAGCTTTTCCTATTGCTGTATAAATAAGATCTCTTTCAATATATTTTTACATCAATAAAATCTAAAAATTAATTTTGTTGTAGATCAATGCATTAACTTATTGATTTATAATTGTTTAATTAATTTTTTCTCTTTTATTAATGTAAAAATAAATATATTGAATTAACTCGCATATATTTTATGCCACAATGATCTGAATAATTTTTAAAAATTCTAAATAATTTTTTTTTAACAATTTAGTTTTAATTTGTATATTTAATAGACTTCAAAATTCTCAGAAATTTATCAAACACAAATAATTAAATTTTTTCATTTTTATTTTCATATTTTCTTTATAAGAGTTAAGGATATTCATACATTTTGAGTAAATATAATTTTTAGCCATTATGCAGCTTGAAGTATTTTTGATTATTTAGCCATTATGCAGCTTAAAGTATTTTCGATTAGCCATTATGCAGCTTTAAGTATTACATATTTTTGTGTATCTAAAGTACTTTAGAAATATTAAGCCATTATGCAGCTTTAAGTCGATTTGTCTGTTATAATCTCCATACGTTATCTTTCTATGTATTATCTCTCTATGTGTGTTCCGTTCAAAATATCTAGATACTACTTCCTAAGAAACTAAGTACATATTAAACTAGCATTAATTATACTGCCTACTTCTATATCTTGATATATATTATATGTATGCATATATTCGCCAAGAAGGCTGGCCAAAACTTCTTGCGCGAATGTACACATACTATAGATGTTTTGTTGTTGTTGTTTATGTATATATTCGCCAAGAGGTATCCCCGAAGCTCTTGTGCGAATCTACACATATTGAAGTATAGCTATTGTACATATCGATTGTAGTAAAACATTTTTGAAATCCATCGTCCAGTATCCTCGAAGTGTTTGTTGTATTTCATCAAATTAGAAAATATTTAGGCACTCCGAATCACCGTCACCATGTTAAGTAATTTAGATTGTTGTCAACCTTCCATATTACAAACTATTGTTTAAGCCATTATGCAGCTTTAAGTGTGATAGATTGTAAGCCATTATGCAGCTTTGTGTGTGATAGATTGTTGTAAGCCATTATGCAGCTTTAAGCATGAATATCTGATGTAAACTAATTTCTATGTTATTCACGTTTTTCTTTTTTTGGGAGCTCTATATGCATGCATTCGCCAAGAAACCTCGCGAAAACTTCTTGCGCAAAAATGCATATACTTAAATACTACTGAGTGATCGTTTAAGTCCAAATTCCAAACAAGCGGCTGGGATATAGTTGAATAGTCTGCTCCACTCCTCCTAACGCAAACGACGAGCCTCGCGCTCCGATTCGAGCAGCGTCAAAATGTCGCCCTCGCGCACGGGTCCCTTGACATTGCGGATGATCTGGCGATTCTGTTCGCCAAGGAACTCCACCTTCACTTGGGTGCACTATCCCTGGGAGCCGGTGCGGCCGAGCACCTTCACGACACGTGCCCAGACAATTGGTTTGTCCATGGCTTCAACGTCCCTTGGTCCTCGGATGATTCCCCTGGGAGACCAGTTAACCTGCTCAGCTCGAGAGTCGACGACGGAAAGAAAGATGACCGGAAGCTTTGAAACTTAGCTGCACGCCAGTTGGCACTTTCGATTCCTACTTTGTAAGCCGCGTTGCAAGTGTGAGACTTTCGATACAGTGTTGCAAATTGCGCTATCGATAGTTTCTAATTCAATAATTGAATTCGTATGCTAGTCAACCTGAAAGCTGTATTCGAGTAGTATTTCGGAAATGCTAGCAGAATTTGAGTTGACTTAGATAATGATAATTTATGGCAAGTGAAACAAATATCGTATACCCGAATGACACTTTTATCGAATGCAGTGTTGCAATTGCAATTATCACTGACCAATTATCACTGGTCAGTGCAATTATTATTGCCACTATTCGATAGTCGTGACTGCCTTAAATTGGATAGCGATAGTAAATTGCTAATTATATCGGCAATATCGATAACTATATATACGAGAAGGATTTAAATTAATAATTGTAAGTACTTCATTTCATTTAATTTAAATTCGATTTGTCCTTCTATAAGCTCAGATTTTAGATACTCATTTTATTAAATTTTTACTCATTGTCAAATGTACTCAAACTATCGATAACATTAACTATTGCAAATGTGCTCGTGCTATCGCATATTTATTAAAATGCAACGTTTTCAGGGAAGACGTTGTTTATAAAAGCTTATAATATTATAGCAATAGCCATAGTAATTATAGCGAATATTGGAAAATTTAAGAAAAAAGAAAATGCTATTTCATAATAAACAAGCTTTCGCAATTTGTAACAGCATTTTAAAATAATTTAAATGGAATATTGGCCATTTACATTTTAATATATTTTATAGATGTATATATTATTATTA